TGGTGGGATGATCTTGAGAAAGTGGGATGTTTTCCCTCTGTGTGAGGGCACACACATCTGCATGAACATGCAGAGAAGTATTCAATTCACTAAAACCAGCTGTTGTGAACAAACCATCCACATAGAGCAACTACAGATTATTCAACAGCAGAAACATTGGTCTCCACTGTTGATACCCCAGATTGTTTTCTGAACTCCTTCTCCACCTTCCCCAGCCTTTTACTCACTTTTTCAAGAGGGCATTTGGGATTCTCACTGATGTCCAAGACCTGCTATCTGAGGAAGTTAACCAGGGCCCATCTGGGAGCATCCGCTCTTGTTTTCCTGTTTTTTGATGGGTCAACTGGTCTCTTAGGCCCTCCTGGTGAAGCACTCAGAGCCAGTTTTGCAAACCTACAGTGAAGAAGCCTTGATGCAACTCAGGGAGGTGGTCTTGTGTTCACTTGAATGACAGGTGCCAGTGAGAGACAGAAGAGACCGTGGTTTTTCTCTCTGAGATGAGCATAACAAGAGACAAGGCTTTTGACTCCCAAGTTTTGTCTTCAAGTAATTTAGACCCTATGTCATCCTTGGGTACACTTTGTTGTTGTTGGGTTTGTCTGCTTTAAAGGCTTAATTCAGATGCCCTCAAGCAGTTGTGGCCGAAGGCAGTGAGGCCTGGGAGCTTTTTTCCATCAGAAGGTGGTATTTAGCCCACAGTTTTGTATTGTGGCACAGCAGGTACCCGGTAATGCTGGGCTTCCAGGAACAGGGGAGTCTGCCTCCCCCACTGACTTCAGCAGGCTCCTATCAGGTATTAGGAGAACTAGGAAAAAGACCTCACCATCGGAGAGTTGTGAAGAACAGATTGCAGAAGCAGGAGAGCACTAAATGCGGTTTTGTTACTGGCATGAAAAAGGCTGTAATAGCGAGGAAATTAAAAACTGATCTTGCCAAAGTGTAATTCACCCTCAAATGAAAGATTCACCTGTCAGAGGAAAGGAAGTCTTTATCTACCACCTATATTTGAGGACTGTTCCAAAAAACCCAACTAAAATCCAGCTGCTTTCAAACAAGGGCTTGAATTTGCTGTAATCATGTACAGAGTATCCCACTGTTCATGGATCTGCCTAGCACTGCTGTAAATTCAAGGTGCGATTGCATCAGCTAATATTATTCCTGCCGTTCTCTTTGGTTCGAAATATCACCCGACTCATTTGGGTTAGATACGAGATGTAATTGCCTGGAAACCAGCACACAACTCCAGAAGGGTGCCTTGCTCATTATATTCACCTTGTCCAATAAAACATCCATGCTATTCCTGTGTTGGATCATGTCATCAGGACACTGCAGAGGGTGAGCTTTCATTTTCCCTTCCTGTGAACAAACCCCTTGAGAGGTACCAGGGGCTTTCTAAGGAATTCAGGTCATTATGGATTTTCTAAGCCATGGGAAACTCCAAGAAGTAAAAGCTCTTCAGGAGGTGTGTTGAAAAGTAACATGGATGGTCAGGCCTTCTTCTGTGAGTATATTAAAATACTGATGGTAAATATAGCACCCAATGGGTGCTGGGAACCCCAGGGACATTGCAGACTTGCAGAGAAAATTTCAGCTTCCTGATGACCTACAGGAATTTTGCCTGCTTCTGGCCTGCCTTTCTGATGCCCTGACTACCAATGACTATTTCTTCTCATGTGCTCTCTTTTCCAAAGTGAGCGCGATCCTGTTCCAGCATCTTGCCAAACTCTTGCCAGACTCCTCTGCTGCTGGAAGCATGGAGCAGTGTATACAGCCATCCTCACATGGCTGCAAAGGCAAACCAGGGCTCTCCCTTCCTGCAGACTGAAAGAGGAGTAGGTATGAGCTGCTAGAGGGAACTAAAAATAGAGAGTCTCTTCTCCAAGTAGACCAGGGATCCTGGGAAGAAAATGCCACATTCTTCATCGGCATGTAAGAGAGTAGGTTGGGAGAACGGGAAGGAAGAACAGCTACTAACTAGAAGACAGCACTGGCATGAGAACAAGTAGACAAAAATAGGCTATGAAAAAATGTGGGCTGCAAATGAGAAACAAGTTTCTTTCTGTGAAAGTGAGGTTCTGGAATAACCTGCCAAGAAAATTCCCAATGACTCTTAAGATGGACTGTGATAAATTAACAAGAGAGACTTTATGACTCAGTGCTTGTCACTGCCGGGAAATATGACGACTAGGAGATCCCCTCTAGCCCCACATTCCTATTGGTATGATAACAGAGGAATCTGTGTAGGGTGCAATAAATGCTGAATCACAGAGTGCTTTATCTAGCTGCCTGGCGGGACAAAGTCCTTCACACCTGTCCTGTCTTCAAGAACCTCCAGGAAAAAAAACAAAAAAACACAACAAATCAACCCCCCCCCCAAAAAAAAAAAACAACCCAGAAAACCAAAAACAAAACCAACAAAAAACCAAAACCACCAACCTTATGTAAATAATTGTGCTCTGACAGCACAAAGCATACAGCTACCAATGCCTGAGTTAGAAGAAAACCAGCTGAGCTACAGGCTCCTCTACACAGGGGAAGGGTGGTGGTGTGTGGGTATGAAAGCAAGAAGCCTCACTGTAAACAGAGAGGTACACACTCCAAGGTGAATGTGCTCCAGCAGCTTCAATACACTATTTCAATGTGGGAAAGAAACTCAGTACTTGGAACCATGTGGTGCTATCCCATGCACTTGCTCAGCCAAGTGTGTGCAGGGATCATGTCCACAGGGCATGACCATGTAATGTAGCGGAAAGTTCCCGCAGTTAACATCAACTGCTAAAACATCCACAGTTCTCCCACTGTCCCAGGATACACAATTTTTTTAGATGGTGTTTTCTTTCCTGTCTCCTAGGAGTTCCCCAAGGATGAGATCACTTTCTGCAGCGCAAGGCCAGCAAGCAGGATGCAGCTTACACTGATGCCTCACAACTGGATATTTACAGCATTGCCACTCTGGCTCTGAGAGCAGACCTTGGGGTAACAGCAGCAGCTGCAGTTTCGGTAGTACATAATTAGAAGTAGAGGCCAAGCAGAAGGCGGCCATGAAAAACTGGGTAAGGTAAGAGATAGGCCCCTTTTCTGGGCTCAGGAGAGTAACACTGCTCAGGAGGAGAGCACTTCTCCACAGCCCTCATGGCTGTTGGACTTGAGGAAGACTTTTCTGAGGCTTCTTCCAGACCTGTGGAGGTCATACAGATGTGGGTGCTTCCTCACCTTCTCAAAACCTGCAGCACAGGCTACTTGAAGCCATTGGGCCTCTGTCTGCTGCTCCCCACTGCGTTGCAGGAACATACCTGCACAGATGTGGCATCACTGTACAGCCACTGTCTCCATGGCTTGCACAGTCTGGTTACTCAGGGTGAAGGACACCTGAGAGTTTTCCCTGTTGCAGTACTTTCAAACACACATTATTTCTAATAACTGCCCCTGGTATCAAAGCTCAGAGCAAGAGGTTCCCACAGATCCCAGCTTCTAACACCAACACAAGGCAGTGGGGAAACTTCCACACCAACAGTCAGTACTCTTGTCCCAGAGAGCCTGGCTTAATCCCTCTCTGCCATAGCTAACAAAGTTCTTTTTTTTTTTTTTTAACCAGGCAGCTCAATCACAATCAAGACCAATGCTGTTATTTCCTAAACAACAGCAAGCTGACAGGGGAACAGAGGCAGACTGAGCAATGGCAGGTGGTTGTGGCACAAGAGCCTCAAGGCTTCCTGCCTTCCTGGCTCTTGCCAAGCTCCAGCAAGCAGGCAAACAGAGACATCTCATACCAGCTGTGACCTGTCCCTTCCTAAACAGCCAAGAGCAAGGAAAGGGCCCAAAACTTAAAACAGGATTTGAGGTGTGGCCTCATCAGTGCCAAACACAGGAAGATGATCACTGCCCTAGTCCTGCTGGCCCGCACTATTTGTGATAGTGGACGCTCTTGGCATCCACATGCCATGCAGTTTTCAGGTGGTGGCTGCTGGACACCACACAGAAAAGCAATTGCCTCAAATTCCAGTGATGAGTTTCCAAATAACCCATAGGTTCAAAGTTCTCCAGAGAGTTTTTTCTGCATTCATTTGTGGATTTTAAGTTAATTTTTATATCAGCCGCTTCCAGGTGGGGTCATGGTTGATCATTTCCTTTGACCTTGCTGCAGTATTTCCCAGCCCCAGAGCAAAGTGCTGTTCTAAATATGCTTGGGGGGTGGGGAAAAGTGGTTTTGCCCCATAGTTAATAGGGTCCCTAGAGCATCCCTGTCCCACCCGTTTTCCCAGCGTGGGGATGCCGTGGGATGCACCGCGTGGGGCACTTGGTGTATGCCGGCGTACCCGGTGTGGCACCAGCAGCACCTGCTGCGAGCGCTGCAGAACTGCAGGCGGATGGGAGGCGCCGGGACAGAGCTCCCGAGTCCCACTGCAGGGAGCCCCCGAGTTCCCGGGTTTGCCCCGCACAGTTGGGGGACCCCCGGCCAATGCATTTCACAGCGAGGCCAGAACCGTAAGTGCTCAGACAGCTGTAAAAGAAACCGAAAAAAATGGTTTCTATTAGCAAAAAGTGACCAAAAAAAAAAAAAAAGATTACCTTCTGTCTGGAGTGTTTACATTTTTAGAAGCAAAGAGGGGCTGTGGGAATATTGTTTCTCATAAGACTATTGGATTTGGTGATGTGCCCTTGATGCAAGCTTGGAAAAACGCAGAGACAAAAGGGGAGAAAAAAAGGTGACACTGGTGAAGGGACACAGAGGTGAGGGATTTCACCATTGTAATGGCTAATAGAGAGGGCAGTGCTAACATGCTTTGTTCAGAACTGGGATTGGGATTTCTCTGAAACCTGCCCTTTTAACAAAGTCTTTCTCCAGAGGGTTTTTATTGCACTGAGTGTCAGGTCTCAGCATCCTGAACTCCTGTGGAGGCAACAATTTGCTGAAATGCTGTCACAAATATCCCCCAAAAGGCATGCACACTGGATTTACTCTTCTTGGTATTTCTAAGATAAAAATTAAACAGAGCATATTAATTTAAACAAACCTTATTCCAACTACATCATCCATACAAAGACATACAGAAGGACACAAGCCCCAGAAAACAAGGTAAAAAAAGAAAAACCTTTCCATATCCTCCTTTACAACCATTAGCTTACCTTTCTCTTCAGCTCTGACCTGAGTCTCATCTATAACCATGCACCTGAACTATACAAAATGTGAAGACACCTCCTGGGACATCACCTTTGGACTCGATTTTCTCACTCATATGCTACAAAAAATGCACCAAAATCCAAAAGGTTCCTGTACAAACCCCACCCCAAGGTCCTTGCTTTGCCCAAGAGCAACACGCCCGAGGTGAGTGGCAGCCTGCAACTGCTTCTGCACCCGGCTGGGTATGATGCCAGTGGGAGGCTCTCTATCAGCAGCCTCGGGGGAAGGAAGGAGTCCTCTCTCTGTACCTATGCTGTGTGCAAGAAGCCATGTGTGTTCGTGCTGCTCCCTGCCAGTGCAAATCACCCAGTTCTCACAGGGAAAGCCCTCTGAGGTGATGAAGTGTGGGCTCTCACAGGCCACCCAGCCCCAGTCTTTCCACTGCCAGCACTAGGAACGACAGAAGTGCCAAGTATCTCTGCCCAGAGCAGCCAGGACAAAAGCACAGCCACCTCCCTGAGTGCTTCCAACCCACTCTCAGCCAAACTCAGTCTGCAGTCATGGCTGATCAGGCTGGAGCTGACACTGCAACCCAGAACGGGGCAAGGTTTATTCCTGATCCCCAGATTCCAGAAAAAAGGTACATCCCCCAGAATGACATGCAGCTTTAGCATTGCTGAAAACATGCAGTGTTTCAGGGGTGGGAGGGCACTTGCTCCTGGGGCAGGGGTGCTCCCAGTCACACAAAGGTAGGTTTCAGATCGTCTTTGAAATTCACCACAGGCTGGGGCCCACTGTGGTGCTCTGCCTGGTGGTCCATGCAGTCACTGGGCTCTGTGTCCGTGTCCGTGCTGCTGCTGTCCAGGGAGCCACGTGGGCTCTGGAAGCAGACCTCGCAGCAGGGCCGGTGGCAGCCGTGAAACATCTCCTCAGAGCTGCTGCTGCTGGAGTCAGAGTCTGGGTAGTAGTACAGTGAGCGCAGGGAAGGCTCAGCAGGTCCCCTTGGGGTGCCCCGCCACCGCCACTGCTCCTGCGGGATGCACGATGAAGCACCCTGGGACTCTGGCCATCCTAGCCACCCCTCTGGCTGAAGGCAGACCTCCCTAGGGATGGCTGGAGAGGATGGTGCTGGGGGGTGAAGGAACCCTCTGCCAGCTATCTCCCCTTCCCTTTCCAGGGACATGTGTGCTGACTCTCTATGGATCCAGCTGCCCACTTCCTTCACCCTCTGGTTGGCACGAGGGGATACATGTCCAGGGAAGTGGGTGGAGGCAGGGGGTAAAGGGACTCTCCGATGGTGCCTTGCCAGGTAGGGGCTGAGGGGTGTGTGGATGCTTGGGTAGCCGTCCTGGCCCCCCCATGTTTCTCCCTGGTCGCCTGGGGTGCCCCGGCTGCCAAGTGGGGGTCCTGCAGGTAAGGCCGGGCTGTAGTTTTTGCCGTCCAGGCTTAGCTCTTGCAAAATTTCCCACAGCTTCTCACTGTTTATATAGCTGACTTTGGGGGATGACTCCCAGGCTACACCACTTGAGTTGTCCTGGCCTGGCAGCTGCTCCGGAGGCTGCCCCTGCTCTGCAGGTGTCCCACGCTCCTGGACATCTTTCAGGCCACGTTCAGTGCTGCCCCCTGCGTTAAAAAGCAGCACCTGAGAGCAAACAGGCTCGTGGGTTGCATGTTCCTGAAGGGTCTGAGGATTGCTGCAAAGAGGCGGTGTATGCAGCGAGCAGGGAGGCTGCCACCCATCCTTCTCTGGATCCGGGGGGCAGCGGTCCCCTGGTGCATCCCCATGCCCCCCTGAGCTCCAGGTGCTGGGAGCTGCGGGCAAGGCACGGGGACTGCAGTCGCTCTCCGCAGACATCAGCCTCATCAGCTTCTCCTTGGCGCTGCTCACTTGCTCCTGCAGGCTTTCAATCACGGCGTTTTTCTGTGTCAGACAAATAAGCCTGTCAGGCACGGGGCAGGCAGAGGGTATGAAAACACTGCCAGCTTGGAAGCTGGCATTGCTAGAAAACAAATCGCCCCTCTCTGCATGGCAAGAGCCACACTGGCAGCCTGTGTGACCTCATCCTCCCCTGAAGGCCTCCAGATGGGAGTGTGGGAAGGGGGTCACTGGGGCAGGCAGCTCTCCAAGCTGGGGTGCTTCTATCTATGCAGTGCAGGTGAGAGAACAGGAGGCTGGGGGCTTTTCTGAAACAGAGCATCTGCCCTCTAAATTAACCAGGTTTGACCAGGCTGTGGCAACCAAGCTCTCCTGCACTTCTCCCTACAGATCTTTTTTTTAAACCCTCCAGATTATGCCTAAATTTTGGTGCTTTGGAGTGCAGAGTGATGTGACAAAACAAAGCAGCTCTTCCCGTCAGGAAGGAAGAGGCTGGTGAGGGATCACCAGCGTGGATAGGAGTGTAAAAAAAGGCTTCCCACCCTGCAAAGCCTTCAGCCCACAAAAGGTAAGGAGAGAAGCTGGTGTGGTTGAGGGGGCCTGGCAGAGCCCTGTACCTCGGTGAGCAGCCGCTTCATGGAGTTCTTCTCCCCTATCAGCTGGTAGAGCTGCTCCTCGCTGTACACCGAGCGGCAGCTCCTGCTTGGGCTGGTGAAATATTTTGCCATGTGGCTCACAGTTTGGCTTTCTTCTTCAAAGGCTTTCCACTGCTTGAGCTAGGGAGTAGAAGAGGATGTTATCTGCAGAGCCCCTGCCAACACAGCGGGAGGCAGGCACAGCTCAAGCGCGAAGGAGACAAAGGGACTTGAGAGGGGGAGACAAAGGCAGGGTGTGACAGGAGAGCAGAGACCAGTGGCAAGAGATGGCTCGGCGACGGGCTGCAGTGTCACTTGGAGCCTCCCACCCATCTGAGCCCTACCCTGTGTCTGGCTCCAGCTTTTAATGCAGAGGAGTCAGTGCCTGTCTGCACTGAAACCTCTAAGCACGCTGTAAAAGCCCCCTCCCTCTTCTCCCCCCTCCTGACTCTGTGACAGACAAAGACAGTGTCACGCATGCCCCCTTATCCCTGAATCACTGGTGACAGGCTGAAAACCAGTAATGCTTAGTACCTATTTTCTCATCTAGTGTCTGCATGGAAGCCTTGTGCAGCCCAGCTCCAGCTGCTTATTGATCTCAGATGAGCAATAGAAAAGCAAGCCCATTAGGAAAAACAAGGTAATGAATTAAAAGATCCAAGTTAAATAAAATGTTCAAGGGCCCCAGGCTCCCACAGAAAAATGGTACAGGCAGAGTGCAAGTACAGTTCATCAGCTCCTCTGCCCTCAGTCTGAGAGACCCGGCACTTGGCAAAGCATCGCCTGCAGGTTTGGTGCTTGTCAGAGGGAGACTGGATCCTTGCTCCCAAAGGCTGCTCATCTAAGGGGTTGGGACTCTGCAGTTACACTGCCTCAACTGAGGTAGGAAGGGACCTCTGGAAATCATCTAGTCCAAACACCCTGCTCAAGCAAGGTCAGATGGAGCAACCTGCCTAGGACTGTGTCCAGCCAGGCCTCAATTATCTCCAAGTATGGACCTCTCTAGGCAACGTGCTTCAGTGCTTTATGACTTTCACAGAAAAAAACAACCTTTTTCTTATGTTTAAATAGAATTTCCTGTGTTTTATTTTGTGCCCATTGTCCCCTGTCCTGTCAGTGGACACCACTGAGAAGAGCCTGACTCCCCCTTCCCTACTCCACCCCCACTGGTATTTATATACATTACTGAGATCCCCTGAGCCCTCCCTTGCACAGATGTGTTCTTTCTTCAGCTTCACCTCTTCCTCCCTTTCTCACCTCATGTCCTTGAGCCCAAACATCCCTTCAGACATTCAACTGAGTAAACAACTGTTTCCTCTCCCTGTAACAATGGGAGCATTATTCCCAATAACATGGTGGCCAGGCACACTAGGCTGCTCCTGGAGGACATGGGAAGCAGAAGAGCCTCACCTCACCCCAAAAGGCTTCCTCACTCATGGCAAAGCCCACCTTCCTTCTCTAAAAGCACAAAGGAGGACAGCCTCTCCTGGGGATCACCAGCAGCAGAAAAGTCTCTGAGCCTGGCAAGGCCATCTGGATGGCCTGAGCCCAGCTCCATCCCTGCCATGGGCAGAAACTTTCTGTGGGAGTGGGCCTGTGAGGTATGAGGAGAGGACAAGCGCATGAAGAACAGATCCCACCACCCACATTGGAGGACAACACCAGCTACTGCCTCGCCTCCACCTATGCTCTCTGCGTGGCTACCACTTGTGGCACATTCCTGCAGGAAGGTTCTGAGCAGCAGCTCTTCAACACACCTGCACTCCTTGGAAACCTTCCAGGACTTAAAGGGGGCCTACAAGAAAGCTGGAGATGGACTTTTTACAAGGACACATAGGGATAGGACAAGGGAGAATGCCTTTAAACTGAAAGAGGATAGGTTTAAATTAGATAAAAGGGAGAAATTCTCCACTATGAGAGTGGTGACATACTGGAACAGGTTGCCCAAGGAAGTTGTGGATCTCCCATCCATGGAAGTGTTCAAGGCCAGGCTGGATGGGGCTTTGAGTAATGTGGTCTAGTGGAAGGTTCCCTGCCCATAACAGGGGTGTTGTAGCTACATGATCTTTAAGGTCCCTTCCAGTACAAACCATTCTGTGATTCTATGATACTCCAGGAATTTGCTTGGGGAAGCAGAGCCACAGGGGGGCTTGGAAGATGAGCTGTGCAGGTGAGCCCAAACGTTTGGGGAAAAAAGCAGGAAAGTAAGTGCTTTGGCCCACAAGGCTGCTGTTGTTAAACTCTGAAAATGTGCCCGTTTCCAGCCAAGTGACAGGATAGAGGTGGAAGATACCTGTGGGACAAAGATGAAGCAGTTGATCGTGGTTGTACACACAAAAATTCCTCCAGAGGTAAAACCAAACAGCAAGTTGTGCCAAGTACGGAAGAAACGATGAACTAAGCAGATAGTGCCAGCAGCCAGGAAAACGAGGTTGACCCCAACGATGAGTGTCAAGGACTGGTTGACTGGTGAGGAGCTGACACTGTCGGTCAGACCGGCCAAGTAGGTCCCATACAGCAGGAGAATACTCTGGAAGCAGAAAAAAGAGGTTTCCAGAGTGTGGAAAATTACAGCCTGATGGTGTCAACCCCCACTTCAAACCAAGCCCGGTGAGCTCAGATACACTCAGTGCAATCCTAATTAATGCTCTTTGATCTATAATGCAGACCTTGAGTGCGCGCTGGTGACGCCGCAGCGAACGCCCGGCACACTGCTGCGGGCCAGAAGTGGGGCTGGGGAGAGAGGGCAGGAGGGAAGGTGCCCGTCGGCACCGGGAGTCCCAACCAAGCTGTGTGAGATGAGGGTCAGGTCAGCAGGTGATGCCACAGAGCAGGGGATGGCCAGGAGAGATAAGACACAAAACCCGCCCCTTGGGCAGCCTGGAGCAGGAGAAGCAAAGATAGACAGACAGACAGACAAACAGGAGACAGAAGTCCCTGCAGGGATGCAGCAGTGGGGTGCCGTCTAGGAGCAATGACATACCTCTGAAGGAGCAGGAAGGATGTTCGGAAGGACATTCAGAAGAAAAAGGCAAGAAGAAATGGCGGTTTAGACTGGAGGAAAGAGGATGTACTTGTTGCCTCTTTAAATAGCAATCCAGGAAACTACCAGGTGCGATTCTTCTCCCTTCCCTTTGCTGTTTCCTGACTCCAGCAGAAGGGAAAGGCACTAAAGAAGTGCTCTGTACACAGAGGAACTGACACCCCCCCCCCGAGCAGATCAGTTGTTTCAGAGCAGGCTGCCTCACCACACTGGCCCTCAAGTGTCCCCTAAATGTATCTTTCCAAGATAGTTTAATCTTTTTCAAGATTAAACTATCCAGCAGGATGAACCCTTCCTTCTCCAGGGGACACTAGCAGGAAACACCAAGTATCTTTTGCCCACCTCCATAGTGCAGGGTATGGTCTGCCTTCAGGATCATTTGGAAATAGCACCTAACAAAATCCCAAGCACCTGCAACAGCCTGGAATACAGAGAATATGATTTAAATTATTCCTATGCTACCTAGTAAGTGTAACCGTGTCTGCCTTAGTTTACTAAGAGTTATTGTTACTTGGGCACCAAGAAGTGCTTTGTGACCTGAGTGCAGATGTTTTTTAGACTCTTCAGGACCCTCTGTGCTGTGGCTGCTTGATGATCATGATGACCACTGCCAGGGTTAAGGTCTGGAGGGACACGGGCAAGAGAGGTTCATGTCCATAGTCTTTGGTGAGACTTGCAACTTCAGAGCACCACAGATTCTCAAGGCGGGGCTGTAATAGAGAGACCTGCCTCACTGGGAACTAGGCCGACACCTGACTCTGCTTTGTAGAATGTGAATTGGATCATAACCATGTCCACCATGGGGCACCTCCAAATGGCCCAAAGGCAAGTCAGCTTCTAATCCCTGAGCAAGAAAATAATCAGCACCAAAGTCCCATTTAAATTCATACAGTCTATCTGGGACACAGACAACAGCACTGCCGTCTAGTAAACTAGGACTTTCAGTAAGCACGGGACTTTTTTTTATTTTATTTTTTTTTATTTATGTTTGTTTATTTTAATCTTGAGCAGGGAATTTTGCTCCTAATTCCAGGCATGTCCTTGGCAAATAATTTCTGTTCATTGCTCTGTTCCAGTAAAACCAGGATAATACACTGAGTGGCTTCCCAAAGGGCTGAGCACATTAATGCTGTGGATGCTAAGAAGTGCTATGTACGCACAGAAATAAAGCCTACTCTCACATTAGTGTAAATCCAAACTAACTCCAGAGAAAGTACTAAGGAAATAACTCCACAACCCCCAGCAGGCAGAAGGGGACAGGGTCAGATACAACACAACACTAAAAAATATTACTTGGGACTGATAGTGGGAATGTTTTATTTCAGAAAGCATTTTGTAGGAGCTGTAGGCAAAGACATTACCTGTCTAAACCCTAACAAAAACTGCAGACAAAATCAGAGGTGGAGACACAGCACTGAAAACCCAGAGAATACCTACGTTCAATACCAAAGGACTTCTAAGGACAGGCTACACTAATGTCTTTGAAATCAAGTGTAGAGAGGAGGACTTGGCTGTGTTGTAAGGTCCCTTTCTGCTCTTTTTCCTACAATTTTGGGTAGATGGTCAGCGAGTATTACATTACAGTGAATCACAAAGGAACTGCCGGTACTGCACAGAGATGAAGCCATTACTGCAGAAAGGCTGTGATCTCACAAGCTTCATCAACATCAGCTTTCTGAAATGTGTCCAGCTTCTGCCATACCAGAGACACATGAGACCACAGATAATTACAGCAGTAATTACACCTACATAGTTACATCGGTATAACTAACACTTCTGGAATAAGAATGGCCATGTGCAGAGCTCCACCAGTGAAAGTGCACCCTGGTGGTATAATTAAGCCGATAAACATCCTGTAAAGGCAGGGAGCAAACACTTGTCATCGGCACCTCCTTGGTTTGGAGTCAGAGGACTCAGGGACTGAGCCACATGGTGCACCACTGCACTGGACGGCCTTCTGAGGCTTTATGGAAAGAGTGCACTTTAGAGAACAGCAAGACATGAGTTTTAAGAAGTGAGATAGATGAGGCACAGGGGGTTGCAGGGAGAGAAATAGAGAGACTGTATGTGCACTGTGTACAAAACAGAGATAATGAGGCAGGGAAAAAGTGGCTTACAGGGCTTTTACACTTTCTAAGATGGGACAGACTGGAAATAGGAGGGCTTTTGAGATGAACAGGAGTAGCTGGAATCTGCAATAGGCCTGTAGCTTGGGAGGGCAGCGAAACAACGAATGCTGCTAAACAGTTTATGTTGTAAGACAGAGAGTTATAATTCAAGAATCGATCAAGAGGTTACGTACCTTAAACCCTAAAATGAGAACGAGCCAAAGATCAGAATAGAGTGATGCACAGGACTGCACCCGGTTCATGGAGCAGGTCATGCCTTTCTCTGTCGCCTAGAAAGCAAGGGAAAGACTGAAGTGAAGGCTGCGGCCTGGGCACAGACTGAGAGGCAGACACATCTAAGCCGGTCTTCTCTGCAAATGTCTAAAAGGATAGGCCAAAGCTGGTGCTACCAGGGGCAGAAGGTTAAAGCAAGGAAGATTTTGGCATTCTGCTGCCAACAGGGCTGGTTAAACATTTCTCTAAAGCATATGCAGGTGCCATGGACCCCTCCCTGTGTCAACCACGTGATCTGCACAGACCTGGAAATTTTGCAGTGGACCCTCACCTCTGTAACAGACTGAACAAAAACCCAACCCAGAGTGACCAGAAGTTTTTCTGACTTGTTTTTCTTTCTACTGTTTTTCAAACAGCACCTCCAAATGCCTGGTCATCCACCAACTTTGTCCACAGAGTTCAGACAGAACATGGCAAAACCCTCCACCACCCCTCCTCATCCCCTTACCCGCAGTGAGACGCCGAGGCTTCGGAAGCACTGGACTGGATCGGCAAATACCCACGTCAAGAGCAACACAGCATCTGCCAGCACCAATGCTGCCACCATTGCCAGCAACTGGAGGTCTTTGATAATCTGCAAACACACAAGAAGTAAAAGGTACTCTGGGGAGCAAATGGACACCAATGACCTCCATCCCCTTGGGTCCCTTTCTAGTTGTTTCTTTCAAGCAACATGTCTATCCTACTACTTCACCCAGAGGGGAATCCAGTGGCTCACCTACATCAGAGTTGGCCACAGGATCTCTGTCTCCAGCTCCCAAACTCTTGGAGACCTAATCAGGCTTGGGGCCAAGCATAAACCCTCCCTGATGGTGTGGATAGCAGGTACATGCTGTGACAGAAAACAGTTCCTCCAAAACAAGACTATCATCCCTTATGTCCATATCACCAGCAGAGACAGAAAGGGTGGGGAAAAAAAGCTGGTAGTATTATGATTTTGAAAGTTTAACACAGATCCTGGTGTGTCAGGAATGGGACTCCTTGCTGGTACCCAGTTCCCCTGCAAACCGTCTCATCTCACCTTTCATCTGAGACCTACTTTTTCAGCACTGGAAAGTGGCCACTGAAGGCTCTAAGTTACATGCACTGTTACATGAACAAATTTCCCATTTCCCTCCCAGCTGCTGATTCCCCTTCTTTAAGTGCTGCAGAGGAGTGCCTAGTGCTCCCTCCCTCCCTTCAAGAGATGAGATGCATCTGGGGACGGCCCTACATGAGATGCTTTTGAGGATACCTGGTTTATATTCATCCCACAAAAACAATCAGCCCAGCCCAGGACACAAATACTGGCATGTAGTTTAATGAAGGCATGGGGTTGATGTAAAACAAGACCAAGACCTTGCTCAGTGATGGGGCTGTGACTCCACAGGGGAACAGGCAGCCTGGCAGGGCACCTGCTTACCTGTGGAGTGGAAAAGCTCTTGCCTCATTGCTCAGGAATAAACGAGGGGCCCATGCACAGCTAGGCATGAAACTAGACCTGTGATTGTAGCATCCATCCCCGTCCTGTGCCAGTTTTTATCTGCTGTTCCACACTGGTTTTTGCTGGTGTTTGCCCTCCTTGGGAAGTTCTCTCCCCTCCCTTCCCTCCTCGGGTGCTGTGTACTCACCACCCGCTTGTCCGGCACCCTTTGGGTGAACACCTTGTAGAGCCGCCAGCTTTTCCCCAGGACGGGGCCAAACACCAGGGAGGTGCCCACGCACAGCAGGCAGAGCCGCACCTGCCAGGGGGTCAGAGCAAGGAGGCTGAAAGTGGGGCTTGCAAGGACACCCCACACTCTCCCACCCAGGGATGCAATAAAGATGGGTGGGGACATGTCTATGGTCTTCTGGCTTCTGGAAAGTCATATCAGACATTAGAAAGCTGACCACAGAGTGAAATAAATTAAAAGGCACATACTCCTCTGCAGGCGTGTCTGCTGCCTGCCTTTTCCTCCCCATCCCGAGAGACTTTCATCAGAGGACCAGGCAGGGAGAGCCAGGCAGCTTGTGAGCAGCAGGGGCAGGGTAGGTCCCAGCACCAATAAATCACTTGCTGGCACCTCCGTTAATTATCCTCAGCCCAGCAGCTGAGCAGGATGCAGAGTGTGCATTCTCCCACGTCCCACTCTCCCATATGGATGCATGCCCAGCCCTCGGTCTGGCAGGGCGGCTGCCTCAGGTCAGGACGTGGGGGTTCATCACACAGGTGAGTGTTTTGATGCAGCCAAAAAACTCACCTGCAGCCTCACAGCACCTGTGCTACTTTAGGCAGTGGTGGCTCTGTGGAGGATCCCATCTCCCTTCAGGCTCCCCTCTCCCTACTGCACTTCTACAAGCCCAGCAGCCTGCCTGCCTGTGGGACCTCTCTCTCCCCTGGGGACCTGCTTTGAGTCCCTTCCTCGGTGCAGATGTGGTTTGCACAAACAGAGAAGGCCGTTCAGACAGAAAGCATCTGGTTGCGTTTTGTGTATGTGAAAACCACAGCCCGGCCACGTGCAGCCAGCAGCGAGGTGGTGACAGGCTGTGGCTAAGAGAGCGCACATACAAACAGGCATGTACATGTGCATGCATGACGGTACCCATCCCAGCAAACCCCCCACTCACCTGAATAAGCTTTTCCATGGAGTCTCCAGAAGGCAGGCTCTGCTCCTGAACCCCAAAGAGGTAAGCACTCGTGTAAGTCAAGCCACTGCCCAGCAGGGTCACAATGTTGAGATTGGGGCTGGACATCTTCACGATCCTCCAGGAAACAAAGCAGGGAAGGTGGTGACAGTTACTGAGCATCATGACCTGGCAGCACAAGGGCGAAGCCCCCTTATAGGGGCCACAATGGCCATAAGGGATGCTGACACATTGTCCAGCCCCCAGCCTCTGACGTTCACAGCTGCTCAAAAAGCTCAGCTGTTGCTCCACAGTGCATAACCCATCTTCTCTGCCGTCTTGCTGGAATGCTTCACTGTGCTTAAAGTACTCATTTCACTCTACCCCAACACTTCTGCTGTAGAGGGGCAGAAGTGGAAAACCACACCAGCGCACCACGTGGTGACTGTCCCCAGCTTTGGGTGCAACAGCTACAAGCACCTTCAAGAACAGGCTCTTCCCACTGCTCCTTCCTCTGAGGAGATATTTTCACACAGCACAGTCTCAACTTCAGGAAGCTGCCTGCAATGTTCAGCTTACAGCCTCCCCTCTGTAATTTCACCCCATCACTCATAATCCTGTAATTGTATTCAGGGAGGGGAGAATCAACCCACCGATCTCTCATGACCTCTCACCCTTCCCCAGCAAGCCCATCAAGCAAAATCTGTAGCTCCTGCCATCCCCCTGCATAGCTCTGCCCCTTCAATCTGCTGCCAAGTCATTGCATTTCTCTACCCTTGAGCTCCTTTCTGGCTTCCTGCCTCGCAAGGGATTCAACCTGGCCCTCTCCCTCCCTGACTTCTTTGCCATGCCTCAGCCCCTGGGGAAAGATATTCATCAGCTCACTCTCTCAGCTGCATGCTGAAAAAGGTCTCCTTTGCCCTCCCAGGTTCAGTAGGCAGACCAGTATTTATTTACTGCAGAGCAAATAAATAACGCCCATTCATTACAGCATGCTCTGAGAATATCTTCAGGGGCCTAAATAATTTGGTAATCAATTAAGGTGGCCACACTACTCAGTAAATTAAGTGCTTCAGATTGGGATGCAGGTCATGCAGATGCTGCAATGCAGCAGGCACAGGGCTCACAACACAAACCCTTATGGGGCAGGACCCTCCTGACTGCATAGTGCTTGTCGGAAGCATTAAGTTCCTTAATGCAATCAGAGAATCAGTTCAGGCTGCACACAGATGCACGTGTCTGTGCAAAACAATGGCACATAGAGACCAACAGGTTTGCCAGGTGAAGCTTGGGAGAGGGATGTATCTCTGGAGGAAAAAGCAGTTGAGAGACTTAGAGATCAATGAAGCTGAGGAGAAAGTGGCAAGGAAGCAGGCAAGACACTCAGAATTGCTGAGGAAGGGTCAGTGCTGGCTGAGACAGTTTGAATTACAAGGAATTGTTGAGCCTTATGCTTGGATTTATGCTGTCTTCAGGGGAGCAGGAAATTTTACATCCTCTGTGCAGACTGAACAGCACCAAGGAAAGTCTGCACTTTACAACCAGCTTCTCTCACCAATGAAGATCATGTTCCACACCAATATGGGCAATCACCAAGATCAAAAAGGGGTAGCAGTATCTTCAAAGTATGAGTGGCCCAACAGCAGGAAGTGCACTGTGGGGGAGCATGATGGGTTTCCCATGGAGCTATGCTGCTCAGAGTAATGCTCCCAAGACTGTGAGCAGAAAAGGAGACTTGTTCCCTTTCTGCTCACTCCTGTTGATGTTTTTATTGAATGGTACCTTTGGGATGAGACTATGCACTACTGTCTGTGCCACGCCAGAGGGCATCCATAGAATCATAGAATCATTAAGGTTGGAAAAGACCTCCAAGGTGATCAAGACCAACCTTTGACCAAACACCACCATGTGAATTAAACCATAGCACCAAGTGCCATGTCCAGTCGTTTCTTGAACACTTCCAGGGATGGTAACTCCACTACTTTGCTGGGTAGAGCATTCCAATGCTTGACAACCTTTCAGTGAAAAAATTCTTCCTGATGTCCAACCTGAATCTCCCCTGATGCAGCTTGAGGCCATTTCATCTTGTCCTGCCTACAGCTCCCTGCCTTGGAGAGGAAGTGAGCAGTCCAAACAGGACTGTCTCCATCAGTGATCAATACTGGATGTGATGGAGAAAGCTGCAACAACCCTGGCATTGGCCTTGCTTGCCCCGTGGTGTTCCTTCAGGCTCATGCCTTCCTGACACTTAGCTGGTCATCAGCTCAAAGCCTGGTCCTGAAGTAGCCTCATTCTGCTGCTCCAGCTCAGGGGAATTGTCACAGCAGAAGAGGGAAGCGCTTACCTGTTTTTCCTGAAGCGAATTGTGAAGATGAGAAAGAAGAGCGCTAGCAGGACTCCTCCAGTCAGGAATGTCCACACAACTCCCAGGAGACCAGCAGAGAAGGATGGGAAGCTCTTCCCACTGTGGTCAAAAGATGTCTGCAGGAGGCAAAAGAGGTGAGGAAGAAGGGGACATTGCTGGGGCTTCCAGTGAAGGAGGTCCCTACTGTAGCATGATCACACCCATGGGTGCTCCTCCTCGGCCATAAACCACATCTCCTCATAAGCAGACACCCCGGCACCTGACCAAGACCCGCAGGCAGGGCTGGTGAGATGTGTGTAGACAGGACACGTACTCTGCCACTTGCTGAGTGCACAGGAGGAGAGGGCAGTCCAGGAGCCCTCTTCTTATGGCCAACTAGCCAAATACGTAATGAAGCCATACAAGTGACTCACAAACCTCAGGCAGCCCTGGCTGTAGGAGAGAAGAACATGGGCAATGGTTCCCCACTGTCCTTCTCTGGAAAGAAACCTCTGCAGAGAGGTCTCATGGTACCCCTTTCTTTGGAAAGTCAGGTAGGGCATCCTTGGCTCCCACCCTTACCCCTCCATGCAGCAGACAACTGACCAGCTGGCTGACGTGACTGGGAGCCAGCAGCAGAGCTGCCAGTCAGTGCAGAAAACGCAGAGAAGGGAGTGTGACAGCGTTTTTCAGAGGCGTTACGCAGTGACACACCGAGCTGGGCTCCACCCGTCTCCAGCGGCTGGAAACTAACTGGGTCCCAGGCAGACATCAGCTGAGAACTGGCTTTTGAGGGACACTCCCAGAGCGGGTATGACAGAGGCACCTGTCTCCTTGCACATAAGCAACCTTATGGGTTTAAACCTCCATTTAAAAATATTCTCTGCAATCTTCCTGTTAACGTAAGATGGACAAAATGATCCTATGTGAAACAAGAAACTATTTCCACTGTGGATCTAAAATGTTCCAGTATTTTTAACAGGGTGTGCATGCGTGGGTTCGTTCACACATACTACGGGTGTGTTACTGACTTTTTTTTTTCTTTAAAAAAAGTATCACTTTTACTAAGGTAAAAGTGGAAGGGAGGAGAATGGGGTGTGAGCTGGGATAACGTGCCTCCTCACTAACTTCTCTGGTGCTGTCCTTTCTCAGACATGCCCATTGACCTGCATGCAATTTCTGTGGCAGAAGACCACTTTTCCTGACAGTTGCCACTGCCCCAAACTCCCAATTCTTTCTTCAAGGCCTGAGTTGTTTCTGCTTCCAGCCTTGCTAGAAATAAATCTTCAGGGAGAAGTAAGGCAGATGTTTAGAGCCAATGCCTCATCTCCCTCTTCCCCAGCCAGGCTTTATCTCCTCTGGACAAGCAAGAACAAGGCACAACTTGGAGAATTAAAGCCAACACATAACTCTTAAAACAAAAATGCATCACTGCCACATGAGCACAGCTGATCCATGGGCTCCTGGCAGCTCACATGCTGGTGCCATGCTGGTTGCAGGGTAACTGTGTAAAGCAAACCCCTGGCTGGGAGAGACATCCAGCCGAGAGTCAATGCTGCTGCTGCTGCTGTATGCTGGGATACAGCTGCATGCACACCTCAGCCTCGCTTTGCAACAGTGTGGAGGGATCCCTGAGGGGATACTCATATCCCTCTTGCAAACTGCTTCCCACCTCCTCTTCCCTCTCTCTATCCCCTGGGGAGTCTTTTGGCTCTCTGGGAAACCAGATGGTGGAGATGGTCAGCCACCCAGGGATCAGAAACACCCATATGATCTCCACCTTTCATTTCCCAAGGAACACACACCCTCCCACCTGACTGCTGTTTCCCTGGATGTTGATGCTACTTGAAGTTGATGGAGCGCTTTGTTTGCCGCTGAGAGGAGTAAATCCTGGTCCTAGCAGGGGGAATATTAATTGTACAGCAGCTGCCAGAGCCAGAGGAGCCAAGCAGCTTAGTCTTCTAATTAAAGGCTCATGGTCGTGCAGGACGTGATGGAGAGCCAAGCGGGCCAAGCCTCACTGGCCCATCCAGCAGCCTCACACGGTGCCAACTGCAACTGAGTGCATCCTAGTGTCATTTCCACTGGCTTACTGGTGTGTGGGGGGGTACCACTTATTATAGATAATGACTTTTAATTAAATCATGCCCTATTCATATTTGAAAAGCACTTTGAAGTTGCAGAGGACAGGAAAGGTCAAGGGAAAATGGGGCCATTTCAGGCCAATCCTAAGCAGCTGTCACACTGGCCGACACACGGGGGGTTGCTTGACATGAATTGGCTGTCGTGGATGCTTCCTCACTATCTGGTAACTGCTAGGTGTCACCTAGACTAGGCTTGTCTTAGAGGCCAACCAGCACGCTGCCTTTGGCTGGACTGGGATTACTTGTCAGCTGCACCCCCCTTTCCATCCCTCCACCCAAATCCACTTCAGCAGAGCAAATCTCATGCCCCAGAGCACTTCCCTGCCTCCGTACATACCACTGTTACAGTGCAGAGCTCCTGCAGTGCCCGCTGCTGCTGGCTGTCAAAACTGGAGCTGCCATCGCAGAGCTCAGAGCAGTTGAATCCCGGCTCCATAGCACATCCTCAGCCGTTATCCAGCCGTACCTTAGCCCCTACTGGAAGGACAAGCGTTGGCTTTCTCCAGAGAGAAGAAACCTCCGGCACACACCGTATCTTCTCCTGTCAGCAGGGTGTAGTGAGGGGGTCTGGCAGGGCTGAGCTCACCCAAACTGGTGTGGTGCACATCCAGGGCCAGGACAGGGAGTGCCCACCTCCCAGTGTCCCTTGGGGTGTCCTGTGCAGCGAAGTGAGTCAGCATGGAACTTGGGTTCCCACGGAGCACGGTGGCATCCCGAGCACTGCTATACCAGCCTGCAAAACAACACGTTGAGGTCAGAGCAGCCCCCAGCCCCTACACTCCAGCTGTGGAGCTGAAACCAGGTGCTGTGCTGGTCCGAGCCAGGGCGTGGCACCCCAAACTCACTGCAGTTTTCTTCTGCCAATGCATTTTCCCACACCAGTGCAATTTCCAGGGTGCATCTTTGCAGATACCCTCCTTGTGCTGGCAACCTGCCAGTTTCCTGGCATGTCCCCTTCTTCCAGCAAGGAACCAGAGAGTGTAGACAACAACAAACAGTAACAAGTGTCATCATTGCTTAATAGGATCTACACCCAGGCCTGGGCGAGCAGCAGGGGAAGGCACTTGAACCAAAGCATTTTGGCTGACTCGGCCTGAGTGGCAGCCCAGCTAGCTGAAGAGCTGGCTGTTCATTAAGGAGATTTAGAAGCCTGACACTTCCATGTTCCCCATCCCTCCCGGTGCTCTGGCTGCCAGGTATTGTCCCCACCTGCTCCTGTTCCCTTCACACCACCTCTGCCTCTGTTCCCCTTTTCATTTCTCTTTTTGGTGTGGATTTTAATAGGCCTCATTACCATTTTAGACATGAGGTCATACTTGTCCTCAAGCATCCTTACTCAATTACCATTGTCACCAGTTTTAATTAGCTTCCAGCGCACGACCATAAGCAAGTCTCCTGTCGTTAGCAGTTGGGGAGGAAGCACAATAGCTCACTTCCTACTTGCTCCTCACAACAGGTGGGAGGAAAAAAATTATCCTTATCATGCTCCTCGGGGCTGCTCCCTGGCCAAGCATGCCATGTGCCTGGCTAGTGCTCCATCCTTCCCTCTTCCTAATCCTGACACTTTGATTCCCTCTCCTCATAAGTCCTTTCTTTTCAAAAACTCCTGTCATCATGTGAGCAAAGAAAGAGTAAACTAAAAAGAAGCACAGTCACCACGACCTGGTCTGAAACTTGGTGTTCGTCATGGGGGATAATCAGGATTCAAACACCAGAAAAGCTACAGGAACTGTTCTCAGGTCAAGCGTAGACTGATTTTTCAGCTTTAGAGAAGTTACAAGTCCCAGCCCAAACACATCAAGGTCAGCAGGCTACTTGACCCAAATTAGCAGAGCGCCCTCTGAAGCAACAATCCCAACTTTCCCACTGGCAGAAGCCTCGATGTACCACAGGTCCGGACACAGTCCTGCCTGTCCCAGAACTGACCTCAGTGTGAGATCAGCTTGCTGTGTCCTACAAACACAGTATCACATGAGCCAGACTTATGACTCTACACACATGGTAGAGACGTTTCTCAAGAGCACTGATACAACCCGGCTCCATCAAACCTGCCTCTCTAGCTTGTAGCAAACTGCGGTGGTGTTTCCCCTACAGCAGGATCACTCGGGGGGGGTTTCATGCCCTCCACAGCTCAGGCTGAGTGATCGGACAAGGGGTATGACTGCAGAAGATATCCAGCTGCTGGAGTGGATGCCAGGATTGCAACAGTGGTAAAGAGCAGTGGAGAGAAGGAGGCAGGCTCCAGCTGAACAGTTCAAAGAGAACAATGGATAGTGTGGAGGGGCTGCGTGCTGTGCCTGGGGATGGCAGCAGGAGAAGGGCACTGAACCTTTGCCAAGAAGACCTGAAGATGAGCACTGCCCAGCCTCCAAAGGGCTCAACTTCTCCCCATGCCCTCAAGTGGGTTTAAAGACAGCCCCTACAATTCCTTGTAACTTTCTGCCATATCAGAGAGGGAACCCACCAGGTGGACCACTACCCAGGCTGGCATGAGGCCAGCAGGCACAACCCTCCCATGGCTCACAAATGGACATGTTTCCACAAGGAGCATCAATTCAACCCTCATACACCCAGGAGACCATCCCTCAGTGGAGGGTAAAAGCCCTTTGGAGTCTTCCCAACCCCCACCCCACCATTCTGCAAAAGGCTCCCACACAATGTTGATAACAAGCCGAGGCCAATTAACATTCATTAGTATGCAACAAAGCAAGCACTAGTGTGGTTGTTGCTGGAAGGCAACAGGCATTTCCAGCCCAGCTCCTGCCTCTCGTGAGAGCTGGCAGGAATGCTGCTCCATGGCCGTGAGAGGATCCAAGGGGGACCGGTGCGGAGTCACTGACCTTCACGGTGAGGTTGGACAATGGTTGTGGGGACAGACAACAACACAGGTAAAAACTTACTTCCTTAAAATGTGAGGGTCTCTTTAGGACAGAGACCTATGGGTTTTGGTTTTTGGGACTTTTTTTTTAGACCAAAGTGCCAACCAATTCTGATGGATCACTTCCACAGCACAATCAGAGAATGGTTTGAGTGGGGAGGGATCTGACAGCTCTGTGCCCCCTTCTGCCCTCAGTCTCTGTGGCATGACAGCTGCTGGCTGTCTGGATCATAGTGGCTAGTACCTGATCACAGCTGAGCATCAGCATGTGTGTGGATGTGATCCAACAAGCCTCAAGTCGGTAGGAAACAAGTGTCTAGACCACATGAAAAATATCACCACCATCATCTTCTAGAATAAAAAGGAACCCTTGACTGTTAAAACCAGTATTTGGATAAAAGCAATTTGCAGTCATCTTAATGGTTGATCTTCAGGGCTGGAAAACCTGTTTCTTTAGATCTATCAAGACTCAGGATTACTTATCATATAATCATTAAGGTTGGAAAAGACCTCTAAGATCATCAAGTCCAACAATTAACCCAGCACTGCCAAGCCCACCACTAAACCATGTCCTTAAGCATCACATCTGCAAGTTTTTTGAACATTTCCAGGGATGAATATAGAATCATAGAATCATTAAGGTTGGAAAAGGCCTCCAAGATCATTGAGTCCAATATCTGCCAATGTTAAAGAACTGCAAATTAACCCATAAATAGCCCTCAAAAAAGATGCAGTTGATGTAATCCAAATGCACATCTTGACTCTCTTAAAGTCTCTTCTTCCTTTCAAAACCTTTGTTCTGAAAAACTAGACGAAAAAAACCTTAAAGAAGCTGAAAAACTGGTGCAGCATTTATAGGCCCAGAGCAGACAGAACCACCTTTTCACCCCAACTGGTTCCTTTTGATCTAGTGTTGACAGACAGACCTTTTCCTAAAGAACAAGGCAACATCACTGCTCAGTGAATCGAAAAGTGAAAAACTGAAGATGTCAAATGGCAGACAACAGAACAAATGCATTCAGAAATGTGCATGAAATGGTTTTCATGAGCTCTGCAATCCTGTCCAGTCATATCAGCCCCGACAGAGAAATGGTACATGTACACCTCTGCAAGGGAAGAGAGGAGCACATCTGGAGAAGCATATCTGTTGAGGAGAACTTCTTGGGCAGGTGGCTCTGTGGCCAGCTGGAACCCACAACTTTGCTGTGTGCCAAAGGCAGAGAAGAACAGCCAGGGGAAGGGAGCGATGTGCAGAGGGGAAATCCATTCCTGCCACCTCAGGTGGGGAGCAGAAGATCTTGGCTTACCCATGACGGGTCTGTGCTGCTACTGCCACTACTAGTGGGAGATGGTGATCTGCTGGTGGGGACAAGCCCCGGCTAGACAGGACACAAGGCTACACACAGTGACAAGTCATCCGGATAACTGTTCCAGCGAGATAAACACCACGGGATGGGGTTTTGCAATTCAGAAAACACTGGCACTTCTGAGATAGGCTCCTGCTTTTCCCTTCTGCACTTCTTGTCCAACAAGATCCCTTCTTGTTTGACCTGAGAAACCTGCAATATTGCCAACCCCAAGGCGATCAAAAAAGTCACAAGCTAGGCTTAGTGCAACACCTCCCGCAATGAAGCTAGTTAAAAATCGGGAGTTAAAACACACAGCATATCTAAAGATTATTTTTAATTTATATTTAAAATTTCAGCATTTACATTTTCACACTTTCCCCTGCAAACACAAAAGGAAAAAGAAAGAAAACCAAGAAATCCTGCTTATCATGTCATCCTAAAATGTGGGTTACAAAGCCTCGGTCCCCAGGAACACTGGGGAGTTGCAAAGTTGTTACCCTTATTCTCAGGGACCATCCTGTGCACTTGCAGCACCCTGCTTTTATCCCTGGGATTTCCAGAGCCACCTCCAGGCCTCTCAGATACCTTCATACCTGGCAGATGGACAGCTAGCTCGGTGCACAGGCACATGATGGGGCACATCACAGGGCCCAAATGGGGTCATCTTCCCACCCAGGCAGTGTCCCTGCCTATGCTGTCACTCCTTGACCCACACCCAGGGTATGGGAGATAACCACCAGGAGCTGCAGGACCTGCTGCATGCAAAGGAGGGAGATGCAGGACAAGGTGCTTCTGCCTCCAGATGCATGAGGAGCTCACTGTGTGACTCTGAAACACGAAAGTTTGTGCTGACTGAAGCTAGCTGTGATTTTGAAGTCTCCTACCATTTTGGATAGCACATGCTAAGATCACAAAGGCAATAATTTCTGAACACCAATCTTACCGATCGTCCCAACGCTGTATGTCTGTCCATTGTGGGTCTTTCAGCTTGGGAGGATTGCACAAGGCTGGCACATTTAGCTCTGCCTCTAGTCTCTTTAACTTTTTAAATGCAGGTTAAATACCCATATGACTCTTTTCAGTTCTGTGGTTTATGTTTTGGATTTAAAGAAACCTCCATGCAAAAAAAAAAAAGAAAAATCATTATTTTTTGAACCACCACACAGTCCTGCGAGGAGCTGACTCACACTTCTCCCTCTAAGGAGCTGATAAGGCTTTTAACTCTCTAACCATAATTGCTATACAATGATAGGCATGTGAGAAACAGAGAATAGAGTGGAGATGCTCAAAGGAAGGAAAATTGGGAGAGAATACCAAGACACATGGGGAGTGTGCCACAGATGATGGGGAGGTAAGAAAAATCCCTGGAGCTGCTGATGAGCAACTTTGTGCCACCCAAAGAGCAAAGCCCATCCTTGTGTCCAGCCATAACAGCTGCTGAGCAGCACATGGATGAAGTGAGCATAAACCTCTAGGCTGACTCCCCAGAGTGTCTCGGAGCCCAGG